AACAAGAGAAAAAAGCTATAATGTAGAACAGAATATAAAATGCCTCTCCTTTTAATCAAACCTCATGAGCCTTTGAATCAAAGGGATCTGCACTGGACACTGAAGAAGTAAAGTAAATACAAGAGTCCAGGATGGACAGTCCTTAGATCCTGCCAATCCCTGTCCATGTGCCTGAGAAGGGTCCCCCGTACTCAGTGAAATCTTCAAGGGAGTCTTACTTTGGATGAGGGGATCCTCACCCTTTCCAAGCTATGATCTCCAGGTCAGGGAAGAGTCATATCTCTGAGTGCACTTTGGCATCTACAAGCCCACATTTGTCCCCAAGAGGCTTCACAGTCAGGCTTGGGGTCATACTTTTGCCCTCACCAATGGATAATTTATGCTCTAGGAGTTCGGTCTCTGTGGAGCCAGCACCTGGCTAGGCTGAAATAATGGCTGTGGCAAAGAGATCATGCCAGTGTGTTTGAAGCTTGTTGAAACTAAATACAAAACAAAACAAAACAGCAACAGCTCTGATCTCAAGTAGAGGAACCTAATCACATTTTCAGAGTCAACAGACCTTTATAGCAACCACATAGGTGTGCTGCTCAGATCCCCGTCAAAAGATAGCCTCTAGCTACCACCACTTTGAATTGACCAAAACAGATCATGATGTATTCATCCTGAGACCATACATCCCCAGGATGCCTCCAGCCAATGACTAAGCAGGGTGAGGAATACTAGAACCAAGTTATTCTTGAGTGACGTGGGAGTCCTTCAATGGACATTTCTTGCTTAGAGACTCACCATTAGCCTGGCCAAGACTTTTTCAGAACGCCCTGCAGTCTGAGACTCCTCCTATCCTATTTTCCTTCCCTCTTTCCTTTCACAGGTGTCAGACCTGCTTTGCCCTCTGAAGACTCCACCCCTGCCCCATTCTGCTCATTTTCCTCTTCTCAGTTATAGTCATCTCCCCACCCCATTTCTCCTGCACCTAATGTTTTGGTGTCTTATTTCTCAGGAAACTGAAAATGATTTACCCCTTCCAAACGACTCCTTGAAAATAAAGATGCATTTACTGAAATATTCCTGAAAGAAAAGATGTTATTCCATGTATGAATCATAAAAATCTCTCTCCTAAATTGGTCAGTACAATAAGAGATTAAGGAATTTAATATAACTGAGATATGTCTGAGAGAACTAGAAGATCACTACTTACAAGAACTGTTGATTCTGGGAAAAGAACAAACTAAACTGCTGTTTGTTAACATTCAGAATGTCTGCGACAGTCTCCCTTGAGTTCAGATCTTAAGGAGGAGATGTGGCAAAAGTGGGCAAGGCAGAAGAACAGGCTTTGAATATGATAAAGTAAATCAATTCGACATTAAAGTCAGCCACATTTTAGCTTGAATTTCAGTGTCTCCTCTAATTATAAGTGCTGTCTTTGGCAAACAAACACGCTTCTCTGAGTCCCAATTCCCTCAGCTATACAATGATTATTGATCTTCATCTCGAAGGGTTGTTATAAAATATAATGTTTGGACCTGAGTAACACATAATAGGTGTTCACTTTCCCCTCCTGCCCAATAGCGCTTCCCCCGCCTCCCACATCTATGAGAACCAGCAGAACAGGGCAGGAAAAGGCGATGTACCATTTATCCACATGCAATGCACACGGTGCCCTCAAGCTGGAAATCTGAATGCATTTCCCTTCATTTACAACTCGGACTTTACCCATATGATCTCACTGTCTGATGTCAGCTCAAGGTCCTTCCAAATTCCGCCTGAGTTCCTCCTTCTCTCTCTTAAAAGAATATCAAAACTATACAGTCTCTTCCTCTTTATCATTCCTCCATCATCCTCGTGTCTCCAAGTATCTTGCCAACACATGCATCTTCTTCTGACTTAAACTTCTTCTCCTAATTCTACAGCTTCAAATGATATCATTTCTGCTCATTTGATTTATAGCACACATATTAGATAAGCTCCCTAGTTCTTACTATTTTAATAAAGTATATTTCCTCCTGATCAGTAAGATCAATCACTAAGTACTCAAGAAAAGGATTTTTTTAAATGGTGACTTTGAGAAGCCACAAGACAGGCTGACCTAGCATATATCAAATGGTACTTGTCTACTATTAATTAAAGGGATTTTGGATGAGTTGGGATACATGCTTATAAGTGACAGAATACTGAGCTTCCAAGGAGTTACTCCATGGGGGAGGAGAGTTTGAGGGGAAGTTCCAGGCTTCCAACAGGAAGCTCAACAGAGAAGCACCTCTTTACAACCTCCCCACCTCTACCCAGAGGTTTTTCTGACCCTTCCCATAGTTTAGCCTCCTCTACCACAAGAGGTCATACCTGCATCTATTAACCGTGTTCTATAAATCATTCCTGCTTCTCTTTTCCTGCAGCAATATGGCATTGCTTCGCTAAGCTGCTACATTAATCTTCTTAGATGCCCAGTTACTATTCTATGGCCCAGTTAGACTGTTCAGGCACCCGTCATCTCTGTCCTGGACCTGTCTTTTCCCCTGGCTTCTCTGGAAGTGCAGAATTCCGAGTTTTCAGGGATCTCAAGGACATTTGGTCAATGGCTTCCTCCACAGTGTCATGATAGATGGAACCCTGGGCTGCCTACTTCGCAGGCGCCTTTATGAAGTGATTGTTCTGATGATCAAGTCAAGAACTCTGGCAAGAGTAAATATCAAACCTGTCATCTATTTGAGAAGCTAATTTGGGAGTTGCATGTTTACTATAAAAGGTGAAAATAGGATCCAACTGCTTCACCTCCTTCTCCCCCTGTGAACAAGATAGAGCATTAAATGAAATCAGTCTGTGTTCCAGAGACATTTGGTGAGAAGACTGTTGGAAATGAATGCAGAAAATTGCTGAGAATAACAGGTCATGGAAAGGACATTAGATAAGAGCTAATCATTAGCCATAGATCCTGAACATGCTTCGGTGACTTAATTTCCCTAATTTATAATACAGGACATGAGATGGAAGATCTCTAAGGATACTTCTATCTCTAAAAATCTCTTATTTTGTGATACATGTCAGACAATTGAGTGGCTATGGTAGGCAGGAAAAATTAAGAAAGCCTATATGTGAATAATATCACTTTTATTTTTTCTTGACCTTTTGACATTCTCTCACTGCCTTAGAATCATTTTAAGGCAGGCTTAGAATTATAAAGAAAATTAATATTGTGGAGACCACCTTCTTCTTATCTTTCCCAATTGATTAATACATTTCCAATATCAAATGGACATTTCCCCCAAAACTTATAATTTCAGTTATTTGACAAATGTATATGTGCTTAAACTTCAGAAATATGTTTAAATATAGAAAAGGCTTTTGTTCACATTTTTAGTTCTTCCTTTCTCTGATATGACCAAACATCAGAAAATGCCAGTGATATTACAAGTTCTTATTCTTACTCACCAAACTTGAAGTTTATTATCTTGCTAGTCAGAGGAAGAGAATGTGAAATCAAAATAGTTTCAGGGAACATAGTAATATATATATATTTTTTAATTTAAGTTAGTGGGGGGTTTGGGGAGGAAGAAAGATGGAGGAGTTAATAAGTAACAGAAAGGGGACCTAAAAGTTAAGAAATAAAAGCTAACTTAGAGGCCATCTACTCTCTGAAACCCAGACCTTTCTAAGCAAAACATCAACCACATGTCGGGACTCTCCAGTATCTTTTTCTTCATTTTGCTAACTTAGTACATAACACATTGCATACTAGTTGCCTATGTATCTTTCTCCTGCTGTCATGAGTACCTTAAGGTCATGAGAATCACGGCCCATTCTTCCTTGTAAAACCAGTGCCTGTTTCTAGCCCATAATACAACTGAAACAAAAATTCCAGCTGACAGGGTGATTTCAGGTTCCAGTGCCACGGAGGGGGGACTGCCACGAGGCTTAGTCTACACTTTGCCTTGTTTATTCTGGGAACTTCCTTAAAGTTTACATTTGCAGGTACTGCTCACATAAATTAATTTCTATGGTTCTTATCTTAAGGCTCTATAAATGCTCCCCCTTACTCAGATTGCCAGTCAACAGGATTTATTAAGCCTCTGTTGGTTGAGGATATAAGGGTGTCAAAGAAGATGCGGTGCATGTGTCCCCTCTTTAGGAAGCTCACAATTTGGGGGGGGGGTGAGGATAGAATTCAAAACATCTGTGAAACAGACATTTTAACACTATGAATGTGAAGACTGCTTATTGTTTTCCTCTCCTTTCTTCGTTCCCCAGTCTACATAAAAATTTATTCTCATTTGCTAATTTTCAAAAATTCTTTGAATCATCAGTTCCCCAATCTCCACCTTGTTACTTTTCCATCCCCTACACTATCAAATGTCTCCAATCTGGTCACTGCTTTAAAAAGACACGTGTTACAGACTTGAATCACACTCCAAAATGATTTTTCAATGGGCAGAGATGGGTCTCTGGCATTACAATAAACCCCACCCAGGGGAACTCAAAAAGTAATACTCATTTTAGTACCACAGTGAAGCAGTCCTCATTTGGGCGCCACAACTGAGTGATCCTCATTTTGGTATTATTTAGAAGTTAGAATTTAGTATTGCTTGGTATTTAATATTTGGCTTTATTTGGTATTGACTATTCAGTAACCCTAAATAGACTTGTTTGGAAGTGAAGAGGTTAATGTGTAATGTAAAAGCTCTAATTTCCGAAGAACCCAGCAAGATTTTCCAAAAAGCATGTTTGCAAACGCTTCCTTTGTTTTTTTCCAAAGCCAGAGATAAAAATACTTGCTTGAAGTTTTTGAACTCTGAGCTCACCTTTATTCAGTAATCTATGTTCCCATTTAATCATATTATCATATTCCCAAAGACTGTTCGCCTTTTTATCTTTCTTTCATTTTTTTAAAAACAGTGGCAAAAACATCTCTCAAAGACCTTCACCCAGCCCCAGCAGAGGAGGCCATGCGGCTCCCAAACAGGGACAAATTCATCCTCCTGCCAACACAGCTGTGTGGAGACACTTACATTGAAGTCGTACAATACACCAAAGTTCGCTGCAGACGCCTCTTCAGCTCTGGGAACTGTTTTCCTAGGTATACTGCCATATGGCAAACCCCAGAGGTACTATATGGAAAAGCAAAGAAAGCAGTTAACAATTGGAAACAAAGTCTGAACCACACATGTGATCACAAATCGTTTTGTTTAAAAGCTCTTCTGAAGCCTTTCATGAGGACTGTGGATCTCCATGTGGGGTCCCATTTTCTGGGACTCTACTATTAAATTCAGAATTAAGAACAAAGGGAGTGCTAAGGACCCTGCATTTTGAGTTCAGTGGACCACCAGCAGTTGGAACCACATTGCCCAGAAGGCTACCCACCACCACCTTCAAACTGGTCTCATTTAGGGGAGGTCTGAAAAGGACAGAGGTAGCCTTTGGGGACTTTGGTGTTCTAGAAAACTATACTACCCACATCTTCATAGGGGTTGGGGGTGAAAGAAGATGCTCTCCCTCATGTCAAGGAAGAGAGCTCTCAAAAGAAATCACTCATAGAATTTGAGGGTGACAAGAGGAAAGACTGTGCCCCGATTATGATACCTGCCTCACCACCAATTCAGATTTACAGCCCTGATTTTGTGCTATCAGATTAGAATAGAAGTTATTACAGGCAGAGCCAGCCAGTAAGGGGACAAGACTAATATGCTATCAGGAGCCTTCGTGAGAACTGGGAAAAGCACCCCTCTGGCCCCAGGGTACACACACAGCTTGCCAAGCAGGTGCTGCTGCTTGCATGAGATGAAAACTTCCCTTCCCTGGGGCTGGGGGGCAGAGGATGAACGTGGATGGAAATCTGGGTGCCAAGCCTGACGGAGCAAGAACTGGAAATCAGCCCCGACTCCCTTCCCCACACGAGTCACTCTGTTTCCACGGCAGCCCGGCAGCCCCTCTGCCTCCCTGGGACTGAACACGCCATCTCACCCCAAAGCTCGAGGCCACAGAAGACCAAAGAGATTAGGGTTTGCCCAGGGGCTTTGGGCAAAAGGGCCTGTTCACCAGAGGAACACTGAGTGGGGCTTCTGGAAAATGGAGCCTTGCTACCAGGAGGTGACCAGCCCTGGCCTCTGTGGTTCTGCAAAGTGAGTACGAAGGACACTCATTTTCTGCTCTTTTGCTGGAGTTGGTAATCAGTACCCAGAAAACAGGATACCCCTCAGCATCTAACACAACCTGTAAAAAAGCATCTAAAGCTGCCCTGGCCAGTGTGGCTCAGTTGGTTGAGCATCATCCTGTGCACTGAGAGGTCCCCAGTTGACCCCAGTAAGGACACATGCCAGGGTTGCAGGCAAGCAGGCTCAGTCCCCAGTAAGAGTTGTGCGGAAGCAGCCAATGGGTGTTTCTCTTTCTCATCAATGACTCTCCCTCCCTCTCTAAAACCAAAAAAACAAACAAACAAAAAAAGCATCCGAAGCCAATATGCTTCCTAGTTACAGGAATACATCCAATCGAACACACTTTAGCTCCCTCCACTACATACAGTTAGGATTCTGCAATTTCATCTAGTAGGAACAAATTCGCTACAACCTTTCATTTCCTCCACATGGAGGCAGCATGCCATGGGAGAAACAGTAAATGCTGCTGATATATCTCCGTAGATAGATACCCTGGTCCGACACTGAGAATGCCACAGTAGCCAGTGTTCAAATTTCAAGTTTCCTTAGAGACATGAGCAAAAATAAAGCTGGGGTTAATTTGAAATCCATCAAATGTACACATTCTGCTGCCTTGCCTGCAAGTTTTCACCCTGGGGATGAACTAGACAGGACTTCTGACCTATGTCCACTGTCTTCTACGAGCCAGACAGCTGTAGAACCCCAGAATTATCTCAGGGATTATAAAACTGGTGGATTAAGGTGCAAAATCCAAAACAAAATTTACTCTGGGATGCTTGCTAAATCCAATCAGCATGATGGACTCAATTCTCACATTTTTTAAATGTGGGAACAAAAACTCTTTTATAGCCAACTTGTAGATTTGTCGTAAGGCTCACTAAGTAAGAGAAATGAAAGTGTTTTGCGCATATAAAAAGCAAAGAACTCCATGAATGTAAGGCACTGTGAGTATTAATATGCTAATAGCAGCTAGATACAGAAATGGGCTCTGATTGGAAACCATGGGAATATAAATTTATAACACCAAGTTTTGGCTGTTTTCAATGCTGTACTGAACAAATTCGCTTTGAGGTTAAATATAGCCTAGCTCAATTTATGTATGGTAAGCATCCAAAGAGGTCTCTGAGTCATTTAACTTCACATGGGTGAGGACCCCAACCTCACTCTTGCTTCTTGGCCTTAGCTGATTCTCCCCACATCAGCTCAGGGCTTTTTCTTTCTTTCTTCTTTTTTAAAAAATCCTCACCTGAGCATATTTTTCCATCTAGTAGGAGTGAGGAAGGGAGGAAGAGAAAGAGAGAGAAACATCGATTGATTTCCACCCGCAGGATCCCAACCGGGGCTAGGGAGGAACCACAATCAAGGTACGTGCCCTTGGCTGGAATCGAACTCAGGACTCTGGTCCGCAGGCCGCCGTTCTAACCACTGAGCCAAACTGGCCAAGACAGCTCAGGGCTTTTTCTTCTTCTTCAATTTGTTTTACTCTCCTCTCCCACCCCACTGTGTGTGTGTGTGTGTGGCAGGGGGAGGGGGTATCTTACTCTAGGTCAGGGGGAAAAAATCTGTTCATGTTGTGTTTCTTTAGCATAGAAAAGCTGGATGACTTGAGCTGTATTAAGAAGCATTTCTTTCAGAGCAAACTTGGCAAAATAAATATAACTCACAAGGTATCAAGGCCTTCCTCTTGGGCAACTAATATTTGAGCACAGGGATCACATTGGGACTCTGACAGAAGCCGTAAACCTTTCCCCTTAAAAATGTACACATGAACATGCACACGGCACTACATGTGACTTTAGGGGGCTCGTGCGAGCACCTTTGAGCAAGGGTTAGGACTGTGGCCCAGAGGCACCATTTGGAGGATTAATTGTTCTATGAATACTATTACTCTAAGGCTGGATGTAACCAGTCAGTCACTCCACTGTTAAAGAAAACAAGAGCTTCTCTGGGAGCAGGCTCACGTGAGAAACTTGTTGCAGTGTGTTTTGTAAACTGGAAGTCAGGGTCTCACCTCTGGCAACATGATGAGGCTAAACGTCAGGATGAAGAGAACCATGTTCACGCCATACATCCATCTCATGAAGAGGAAGTATGAGGCCACTGATGAGCCAAACTGACCTATAAAAAAAAGAAAATTAGAAAGTTAAGGACTTCCAGGCAAGATGGCGGCGTAGGTAAATGGAGTACTCAAATCCTTCCCCAACCATATCAAAACTACAACTAAACTAGAACAACCATCATTCAGAACTGCCTGAAATCCAGCTGAATGAAAGTCCTACAAGTAGGGATTTAAAGAAGCCACGTTGAGACTGGTAAGAGGGGCGGAGACGCAGAGCTGGTTGGTCCCACACCCACGTGTACAGATAACAGTTGGGAGGAACATCTCAGCTGCAGAGGTGCCCCCTGAGGAGTGAAGGGTCCCAGCCCCACGTCAGGCTGCTGAGCCCAGGCTTCCGGTGCCAGGAAGAGAAGTCCCCATAACTTCTGGCTGGCAAAACCAGCAGGGATTGTGGCTGAGTGAGACGTAGGGCTCTGGAGTCCCGGACAGTTTCTCTGAAAGTGCCCGCACACACGCTTACTCAGACTCACACCCTCTGAGCTCCAGTGCCGGGGCAGCAGCTTGAAAGGTACCAGGGACATACAGGGAGGAACTGAATTGTCTGGATTACACGAGAGCTGGGGAGTGGGCAGCTTTCTGCCAGACAAAACTGTTATCAGAGGCCACTGTTCCTTTTCTGAGACACCCCTACAGGGCACCATATCTGAGTGTCCGGCAACCTGGCTCACACTGTTTGCCCCGCCCTGGTGATTCCCTGAGACCCCACCCCACCCAACATTCAGGCCCACCCAGGCTGTTTCCAGTGTCTTTTCCATACAAATGTCCTGTCTTGGCTCATGCTTTGGACTTTCCTAAAATCTCTCAAACAAGCAGCATCTGGCCTCAGTGTGCCTGTACCTCTCGCTAAGTGGCCCCAGGCCTGGCACTAGCAGCAGCCAGTTGTGGTTCACAGCTTGGCTTCTCCTGGGCACCTCCAAGCCCAGCACAAGTAGCAGCCATCTTCAGATCACTTCGTAGCTCATGCTGGGTGGCCCCAGGCAGAACATAGGCAGTAGCTGATCTTGGCCTGCATCTCCCGGGAGACCCCAGAGACAGCACAGCCGGTGGACAGCTTCAGATCACACTGAAGTACCACCCGATCACCTCCACAAGTGACACACTCAAGGGGTGGACTCAGCTGACATGAGAGCCCCTTTAAAGTAAGTCCTGCTCTGTGATCTGTGTGGCAGGCTCATCATCCATGGTGGTCAGTGGTCACAGCCAGTCCGTGCAGCTAATCGGCCTGGGGGCAAATACCTCCCATTGATGTGCCAAGAGCAATCAAGGCTCAACGACGACAAGAAGGTGCACACAGACCACACGGGGCAGGGGTGGCACACCTAGAGTGCCCAGCTCAGATAAACAGGGAGTCTGTGCCACTGGACCCTACAGGTCACCTACTACATTAGGCCATTCTACCAAGCCCAGAAGATGTAGCAGCTCTACCTAACACACAGAAACACTCACAGGGAGGCTGCCAAAATGAGGAGCACTATACAAGAAGCCAAACCACATTGTGTAGGGCCTCCTAAGGCAAGATAGAAAGTGAGAATTTTATTTTAAATGAGATGAGAATTCATTGCCAGGTGTTTAGCAATGGGGGGAGGGACCAGTTATGACCTTTAAGAAACCACTTGAGCTGTGGAGAATAAATTGGGAGGAGATAGGCAAGAATGTTTTATCAACTCACACCTACCCCAAACAGTAAAAAGTGAAGTGATCTGTTCGATGCTTTTGAATGAGGGGAAAAAATAATGCATTCTCTTACATCAGAGACTGGAAGAGGAAAAAAACACACACAGGAATTTGAAGTCTCAGGCTGAGATTTCAAAAGCCGAAGATTATTTGATCATCGCTGAAGGTTCAGCATCAAGATGCTAGTTTTCCCAGTCTTCCCAATTCTCATTTTCAGTTGCCTAAGAACAAGGAACAGCTTCCGCCACCTGCTGCATCAATCCCTTTGTCCCGCTCCTTTAGCAAAACATCTCCAGTAACCAATAGTTTCCTTGGGCCCTCTGTCTTTGAAACAGTACAGGAGGAAGAAGGTATGTATGAAGCAAATTGCAGCCTCTGCTTACTAACATGAGACCGAGTTCACGTGACAGTCATACCTCTATTTCTGGAACTTAGTCTGTTCTTTAGGTACCATCTTACTTATTCCCATAACACAGAGGCAGTATCTATAGAGACTTAAAAGGAAGTCAATGTCTAAGTAGACATTTTAAAAGAAATCAATTAGTGTGAAGTCAATATCTGGATTCATTTCATTTTGTAGAGGGGTGCAGAGTTCTACAAAATTTCCCCAAGTATGTGATTTTCATAAGCTTCTCCACCCCCCACCTGCCACCCCCACCCCCCAGGTCCTGTAACCAGATGCACTGGCCCGTGTGCAGAAAGGCTAAAACAGATCCTCCCCTCTGAGGACATCTGATCATCTACCTGGCTCCCAGTGATTTCATATCGTTTCATGGCTGTTATCTACGTTCTCTGGTAACGACGGCCTGAGGGCTGCCTCAGCCAGGTTCACTCGTCATGTTTTATTGAAAGCAGTGGGCTTCCAGCTCGTCAATCAATACAGGGACTTATTACCTGGAGAAGAACCTTGGCGCTAAGTATCTAGGGTAAGCTCTTCCTTGGCCTTGGAATCACACTTGAGATCCTCTGATACAGAGTCCCAAGCACAGGATATGGGCCCTTCCTCCCCCCCCTTCGTTCCTTCCCACTCTCTCCAAGCCCCCATTACACACCCCTGACAAATGAGTGTAAATATACCTCACGGTTTAAAACATAGGGGCATATTAAATGTCTCAGAAACTCTCCCCTTCCCCATAGAATCCATATATATTATAGATGAAGTATACTCTAAACTTCAAAGCTTCCAAACTCCAGTTCTAAGTCTTGAAAGTGGTTTCACAATGACTTTACTTGAGAAGTCACATCTATCCCTTTTCTTTACTGAATCCTAAGTGTAGAGAAAATAAATTGCAGAGAAATCGATTTCATTAAAACCTGGGTGATGGTAGGAAAGCCCCAGTCACAGGTCAAAGACAGAGGAACCCAGAGAGCAGTGTTCCCTCCACATGACACCTACCAGTGGCAGAGGGGCAAGAACAGTAACACGACACATGGCTCAAAGGAGAGAAAACAAATCAACTGGTTGACATTAAAACTCTATAGAACCTTTCCCTGTCTCCACATAAAAATAAAAAAAGAAATCTTCCCTCTTTGTTTCTATTTATCCTAGCAGTTCTCTCCTATTGGAGGCTGTTGACTAAAACTGGCATTCACTAAAATCAGAAACCTTAATACAGTGCGGCCAAGGGAGCATAATGAAAAAGAGCAGTAATTTCCATGTACTTAGACTCTCAGATGAAACTTACTTCCTCTTGTAAAGAACAAGAATGAGTAATACTGCTACTAATAACAATAACAGCTAATACACAAGGTGGGGCAAAAGTAGGTTTATAGTTGTGAGTTCTTGGAACACAGTTTATTCTTATATTAGTATTTATTAATTATTATATTATTTTCCATACAAACAATTATAACCTTACTTTGCCCCACCCTGGGTATTGATGGTCAGTTGTGTATACAAAGAACTTTATCAGCATCAACTCATTTTACTGCCTCAAGAACCTGGTGAGGTTAAGTAGTATTAGTCCCATTGTGTGGATGGGGGATTAAAGACTTAAACAGAGACATTGACTGAACCAAGGAAGGGTTCATTAGTAATAATAAGAGCTACCATTTAATGAATCTTTGTTTCAAACACCTATTAGATCTCTGCATTTAACCATCATCAAATCCCTGAAAGAAGAGAATTACTGTACTCCCATTTTACAGAAACTTAGGCTCATAGGTTACACAGCTAGTAAATGATGGAGCCAGGGTTATGTAGTAGTTACATAGGTAGTAAATGACGGAGCCAGGCAGTGTTTATCTATATGTGTTTGCCTCCAAATTTAGATCTCTCTTAACTGCAGTGCTATATTTCTCCTCAAGTAGAATTTAAAAACACACACAACTATGCTACATTGAATAATATGCAATGAATGTGTGTGTCTGAAAGGATACATATAATGTCCATCAATCAGCAAAGGCCAGTCAAATTCACCCATTTAGATGGTACCCATAAATGACTAATTCCTTTTTCCTTTAATCTAAGTAATAAATGCTGCTTCTACAGTGTATTATTAATATAGTGAAAAAGAGTATTTGGTATGTATTTATGTGAGGCCTTAGGCTTATGCAGTATTCTTGTTCTTGAATTTTTTTGTGCTCCTTTTAAATTAAGGTTAAAGTTTTACTTCTCCTCTGGTTATTTATTATTAAGGCAAAGAAATTTATAGTCTATCGTCATGTATAATTTCCTCTTGAACAGATGGGTAACAAGACAAGCAGATAAATGTGAGCATTTTAATTTTTTTTAATCCTCACCCGAGGATATTTTTCCATTATCTTCAGATAGAGTGGAAGAGAGGAAGAGAGAGAGAAACATCGATTTGGGAGAGACACATTGAGTGGTTGCCTCCCACATGATCCCAACCAGACCAGGGACAAATTGCAACTGAGGTATGTGCCTTTGATTGGAATCAAACCCGCAACTCATCGGTCTTTGGGCCGATGCTCCAACTGCCGAACCAAACTGGCCGGGGTGATGTGTGAGCATTTTTTAATGGAAAAAGACCATAAAATCACCTGGGGTATGAGTATAATATAAATGTCACCTTGTTAGGCTAGGATAAAAAGTAGTTTCTGTCAAATGGGTCCAAGGATAAAGAGTTAAATGTGGCAAATTTGATTTGTATTTTCTGGAGCCCTTAAGCTAACAAAGAAACATGAGCTTCTAAACTCTGTGCTTAGGTTTGCCTATCTGTAGATCTTTCAAATCTGAAAAACAGGTCAATCACACTTTAATTTTGATGTTGTATTCTATTAGGAAGAAGTAGATTTGGATTCTGGGAAAGATTTTTTAATCTCCAGCTTGAAAGACATTCAATGATTTAATCTACTGCTTTAATAGTAATGTTGACACGAGTATAGATTATATTTCTCAGAAGTACAAATACACAGCTTCTTCGGTAAAATAAGCAATGTGATGTAGCTAATAATGTGAATTACTTTGGGTAACGCTGGGGTTTTAGGCATCGCCTCTTTACAAGGCTGACAGTAACTCCACAGCATCCCCGTGTGATATAGGATTTCCCAGCATTCCTTTGTGGTAGGAGTTATCAAATCTATTTTTTATATGAAAAATAGTTGGGAGTCATCAGGTGAGTACCTGGTCGATACTGGCAAAGGGGATCTGGGTCTGATTGGAGTCAAGATGGAAACAGCATAAGATTTTTATTTAATTTGAGTTCCCTTCTTGATTCTGTCAATTATTGCACAGAACTTGGTGGAAACTCAGTGTAGGCTGGTAACTGGGGATGCTTTTAATATCAAATTTAAAAATTATTTGTTCACTATTTATTTAGAGATTGAGCAGAGAGTGAGGGCAAGTTGGATTAGAAAGACTATTGGCAATGGGGCCCCAAAGTTCCTCTTTTAAATATACCACTTATTGCCCTGGCCGGTTTGGCTCAGCAGTAGAGCATCGGCCCTTGGAACAAAGAGTCTCGGGTTCAATTCTGGTCAAGGGCATGTACCTAGGTTGTGGTTTGTCTCCGGACCTGGTTGGGTCGTGCGGAAGGCAATTAGTCGATGTGTCCCTTTCACGTCGATATTTCTCTCTCTCCCTCCCTCCCCCTCTATCTGAAGATAAATAGAAAAATATTCTCGAGTGAGGATTAAAAAAATAAAAATAAAGCCCTGGCTGGTTTTGCTCAGTGGTTAGAGCATCAGCCTGAGGTCCAGAGAGACCCGGGGTTCACTTCCCGCTAAGGGTGAGTACTTCGGTTGCAGTTTGTCCCCGGCCCTGGTTGGTCCTGCGGGTGGCAGCCACTCGATGTGTCCCTTTCACGTTGATGTTTCTCTCTATCTCTCGCTCTTCCTCTCTCTTTCTCTCACTCTATCTGAACAAAAAATGGAAAAATGTCCTTGGTGAGGATAAAATAAATAAATAAATAAATAAATAAGTAAATAAATAAATAAATAAATAAATTATGCCTCTTGCCACAATCCATAATCATTTTCATTATTTAATTGCTAACATTTTATGATCTGTACACACACACACACACACACACACTAACTCGTTTGGATGTAAAGTCGATAAAGCGGGATCTAATGTTTGTCAGCACAGCATCTCCAGTGCCTAGAAACATGCCTGATGATGGAAGGCACTAGTAAGTAAGTATTTGCTCAATTAACTAGTCAATCAAGTCAATCTTATTCTGAAGATTAAATGAGGTATTATATGTTAGATAATTCTGATTTTTAAAAAAATTAATAATATTTCCGAAAATTTTGTTAGATTAAATGGTCACTTCTTTAAGAGAAAACTAATTTGTATTAGTTTTATAATATAAAATATATAATTTATAAATAGGGTACTCGTCTAACCTACATTTTTCTGAAAAGAGTTTGCAGAGAAAGTAAATTATGCAGGCCTCTCTTAATATAATTCTGTTTTCCATTTAACAGTTTCAATAATTTATACTCAAAAGTATAAAGTAAAGAACATCACATGCTTACATATACATCTAAAACTGATGGTAACATAAATTATAGAATGTTGGGTTGAAAATGGCCTTGTGTAGTAATTAGTTAAACTCTGAATTTTGTGGAAACTCCAGATGGGGAAACAGAGAACCAGAGATATAAAACGATTGCCCAAACTACAGAGTCAGTAGGGGCAAAAGGACGTCAACCCTTAGAAAACCGATTCCATGTCCCACTTCTTCCATTCAGTCAGCTTCAAAAACCACCACAGACACAGGCTTTCCCTATCTTTGGAGACTATTTTATATGAGACGTTGAGTCCAACCCAACACCCGCCTAGTATTTTCCTAGAATGGTTTCAAGACGTTTCAACTAATACAGTAGCCCCAAAGCATATGGTCTGCTTATGACTACCATTAATATAATAGTACTTTAAGAATCTTCTAAAATGTGACATGCATACGTAAATAAATAGTTCACTTAAAAATAAATACATAGTATTTATTATAGAAAATAATGCCCTAAGTAGGATAACTATGAAAGAGATCTGCAACTATTCATCTTGCTGTTTTCCTGGTAGAATCCTCCCTGGGACCTGATGCAAAAGAAAAAATTTATATCTTGCTCAAAGCGAAAATCAGCATGCCACATTGGGAAGAGCACAAGCTTTGGGCCCAGACATACTCCACCTTCTACCTCAGCTCCTCTACCAACAAATTCTGGGGCAATTTAGCCACAGCTCTAAAATAGGAAGGCTAATGTCTACATTGCAGGCACATTAAAGATTAAATGAAATAATGCTCGTAGAGTGTCTGACTCAGGGTGGCACTCAATAAATAATAGCTGCGGTGATTGTTGATAGAACAGAAAATACGGGTCAATTCTCCACAGTGAGGCAAAGCACCTCTAAAGGTGAAGAAAACAGCACAACCTAATCAAATAATAAATTACATATTGAAGGGAAAAGAATCCACATTTGCTTGAGTGGTCCAGTTGGACTGTTTCACATTTTCTGGGGGGAGAGGGGAGAAGGCAAGATAACTGAAAGTATTACTGAATAGCTCTCAATTTGATTTTTTACTGTGACACACATGATAGATGGTGGTCATAGGTGTAACTCATTTTTGTGTGCAATTTCGGGCAATAAAAATAATTCCATCTGTTTCTATCCCACTCAAGGCAGGCTACTGCCACACAAGGAGCATGACATTATTATTTAGATAGGCTGAACCTGTTCTAGTGTACCTTAAACATGAGTAATTTGCAAACATATATATATATATATTCTATCATTAATTATAAATTTCTTGGAATACATCTCATAATTTATCAAGAGTCAACCCTATCACTTTCAGAAATGAGTAGACTGTGGCCCAGAGGGATTAAATTCCTGGGTCAGTCAGAGTCAACAGCTAATCTGTGGCAAAGCAAGAACGAGTATATCAGGGTCCAGTGCTCCCCATGGCCTTCTGTGTCTCTGCCTCTCAAGGTAGCGTATTTCAGCAGCACAGATAAAACCTAATGATTCCATGATGTCTGGGGTTTTGTTTGTTTGTTTTGATGTATCTAGATTCCTTCTATTTCTTAGAATGGTAGACATTTGGAGGATTTGTCTATATCTAATTTTACTCAATCCATATTTATTAAGGCCAAACAAATTCTAGGCCTGGTGACCCCGCAGTGAACAAAACAAAATCTCTGCTTGCCTGTCTTGTAGAAGAAGTGAACACAAATAAAATAAAACAAAATTATATTGAAAATTCAATTAAAGTACAGTATTTTTGAAAGTTGTAAGTGTGAGGGGGGAAATAAAGCAGGAAAGGGAGGGTACAGAACTATGCTGGAGGAAGTGCAGTTAATGAGCTGATATATTTTAATTCATCGCCGTTTGATAACGAGAGGCGGAGGGCAGAGGAACAGTGCCTCCCAAGGTGCGCAGTGATGTCAGTGACGTGTCCGTCCGCTGGGCCCTCTCCCTGCGGAGGCTCCGGTTTAATTATGCAGAGCCATGTTTAACCAGCACGAAAACCAAGGCATGGAAGAAAATCAGATCCTAGTCAAAACCTTCAGAAACCAGAATACGGCAAGACTGTGCCCAAAACTGTTTATTTATTTTAAATCCTCACCCGAGGACATTTTTCCATTTATCTTCAGAGGGGGAAGGAGACAGGGGAGAGAGAGAGAAACATCAATCTGAGAGAGACACATCACTGGCTGCCTCCCACACAGCCCCAACCAGGGCCGGGGACAAACTGCAACCGAGGTACGAAGTACGTGCCCTGGCTGGAATGTGACTCACAACTCTTTGGTCCGTGGGCCAACACTCTAACCACTGAGCCAAATCACTGAGAGCCCAAAACTGTTTTTTTTAAAAATGGTATCCCTTTTTTTTTTTATCTCATTTTTTAAAAAAATAATTTATTATTATATTTACAATATTGCCAAAAAATTTTATTTGCCTAATTCTAAACCTGTTCTAAATAGGTTTTTAATTAAGTATATTGTCCTGCCTTCCCTATACACTGTGAATATTGTATAAAATAAAGGCACAGTATGATATTCAGATAACAAGTTCCTGGATGATCATTGCTTATTCTACTTCAGAGGTTTGAATATGAGGCTTTAAGATTTCTTCATTCTTTTTAAACGTTCATTGTAATTATTGTCTAACACAAGAGTACACATCTTTTCAATGTCATGCTCATTGCCAAACCACCATCTCTGCCTTCCCAGTGGATCGAGGTCATTGTGCACAGTGCTGACTTCCCTGTCTAGGAAAGAGAACAAGGTCAGTAGGGGAATACTTTGTTCTAATGCAGGACGGGAGAGTAGCATCTCCAGGGCTGTGGGGGTGCTAGCAAGTCTTTTCACAGAGCAAAAAAGGTATAAGTGATAGAGGTGTTTTTTTATGGTTTGTTTTCTTGTTTTTAATCTTTCCCACTAAAAAAGGCATCTGAGAAGCTTATGAGACATCAATCTGGGGCAACCTTCCCATCTAATGAGATTTGTTGAGCACTTACTTTCGATTGCTTTGATTTTATTTTCCCATGGAACACAAGCAGCTTTGAAGTTCTCAAAATCACGGAGAAATTTGACCCATTTCTGAAAAGGAAGCCAGGAGCATCAGTAAAACTCAACCTCCTGTTTGCCAAGATGTTTGTCCCCCCACTCCCATCCCAAAATTTCACAAGACATTGAGCTTGGAAAGATCTCTCTGGCACCACATCTTGCCATTTATACTTGCCCTCCTGTTCTCTACTCTCCCCAGACCAATTTTGTTCAAAAATTTTTATGGATCCTTGCTTTACAAAAAATATGCTTTAAAAGATCTGTCTATTCTGTTAGACATAAGAGAGCAGGGGCTGAGTTTGTACCTAATAAGGTGATCGGCAACCGTATTGATTAATCAAATAAATATTCATTGTATGAAGAAATTAACAAAATATGACTAAGACATGTTTTGAAGGGCTTCTGGGGCTACTAGAATGTACTCTCAATGCACAGGAAATTTCAATATAGGATGATGAGTGCTATGACATAGGACACTTCATTTTGGTAGAGACAGAGCTGTCAGCTACATGGAAAGGCATGGTGTCACAAGAAAAGGAAGAAGAAAAAAATCATAAATTTGTTTTTATAAAAGAACTTCCTTCCATTTCACTCCACAGTGTTGGGCCATCCACGGCCGAGAGGACCACCTGGGAGAATGAGGACGAGGCAGATAACTTGCATGTGTGTGCACTGTGCTGGCATAAGCGTGAGCTATACAGGCACAAAGCCCAAACAGCAGTATGACATAGTCTGAAGTTCAAAAGGTTACCTGAACTAGAAACATCCCAAATGTCCATCTACAATAGAACAGATAAATAGATTGTGGTCTCTTCATACAATGGAAGGCAATGCATCAATAGAAATGAACCGTAACTCCCACAACATAAATATACTTCATGAACGTAACATTGCATCAAAAAAAGCCAGAAACAAAAACATAAATACTATACAATTTCAGTTATTTAAACTATAAAAATAAGAAAACTAACCTATGATATGTAATAAAAAATATAATATGTATTTTATATTTGAGAGATGAACTTTATTCCCAAACCTCATCTTTATGGGAATATATTTAGCTTACAGGTGGGTGTAACATTTGTAAAGAAAGGATAATAATACCACATATCCAATGTGATGAGATCATTAAATATAACTTTATAGAAGGATTTAATTTAGTGCTTGAAATATAATAAATACTAAATAAATGTTAGTTTCTTTTTTTTTTTTTCTTTATTGATTTGAGAGAGAGAGGAAGGGAAAGGGGGAGAGAGAGAGAGAAACATTAATGAGAGAAAACATGCATTGGCTGCCTCCTGCATGCCCCCCACTGGGGATTTGGCCCACCACCTGGGCATGTGCCCTGACCAGTGATCAAACTGGTGACCTCTCAGTGCACGAGTCGACGCTCAACCACTGAATCACACTGACCAGGCAAGTTCCTTTTCTCTCTTTTCCAAAAATCCATATCTCATTGGTATATCATTTTTATTTTTCTTATTTTCTATCCAATTTATAGTTGATGCTCATGGTAGAGAAGAGCTATATATACATGGTTGTTACCTGTAGACATTTTGAGAAAGAAACTTTGACCCAGAGCCAGGGAATGAAAATGAAAAAGGCATAGTCCTTCACGTTTGGAAGTGATAAAAGAACACAAATGAGTCTTTTGCTATAAATCAATATTTCTGAACTTATTTTTCATTTTAACTCCTCTAAGGAGCCTTTATGGACTTGTTTTTTGTTTTTTTTTCCTGACTCACCACCCCCCATTCAAATTTTAATACCACAGATATAGTATATATATACTGTGTATGTATATGTGCTTTATACATATAAAGTATACTTTTTTTCGCCCTTTCTCAGAACATAACGTCTTCCTGCGTCGAGATGCCTCCCTTTGAGAAAACATGCGCCACCCACACTGAGTAAGGAAACACTTACCTTGGCCATCATCATCTTAAACGCAAACCACCGTTTCCCTTTTCCTTTCCCGAGAGCTCCTTCGTTTTCACTCACAAATTTTTTTGCTTCCCTAAGAAAAGAAAACAAAGTAAGGGTTAGGTGGGGGTGGGTGGAGATTGGCAGAATATAGAGGTAGTGAATGTTTAATGTTTTTAATTTTTCAATCTTATTTCTTCTAGACCCTTAACAAATGAATCTAAGCTATATTTCACAACCTAGGAACTTGTAATAGTTGTTTAAGCTTTTTCATTTTGACCAGGAAGAATAAGATATTCTAGTCTTGCTTATTTACCAGCTGAAGTCATTGAAAAGCGAGGAATTTATGCTAAATGTCAAAATAGAGAACCCTAGCTCTTCTCATTTCTCCCACAGATAAAATTGAATTTGAAGTTTACTTCAGATTTTGGCAGTCAGAATATTTATTTTAAAATACATTCTTTCCTTCTTTTTTTTAAGGATTATTGTTAAAAAATAAAATAGGGCAGAAAGTTTAGGACAAACTGACATGCAACACACTTACTGACCTGGTATTTAATCTTGTAAAAGCAATTACGACCGAAAACAGAAAACTCATATTGTATAATGCAAATGGGGTTAAAGGAAGAGGAAAAAGGAAAGGAATTCTCCTTAGCCTTGAATTTAGAAAGGGCTTCAAATTTATACTTTAACGTTATTTCCAAATATTTATACATTGATGGTATTTATTATTATTATTATTATTATTTTTATTATTACTACTATTTTGTTAATCTCACCTGAGGATATTTTTCCATTGATTTTTAGATAGAGTGGAAGGGAGGGAGAGAGAGAGAGAAACATTGATGTAAGAGAGACACATCGATTGGTTGCCTCCCATACATCGATTGGTTGCCTCCCATACATCGATTGGTAACCAAGATGGGCCGGGGATCAAACCTGCAACCCAGGTACGTACCCCTGACCAAGAATCAAACCTGAGACCTCTCAGTCTGTAGGCTGATGCTCTAACTGCTGAGCCAAACTGAAAATGACTTACTCAGTTTGGCGTATTTGAGTTTTATCATTTACTAGATGAGTGGCCAGTGAGAAAACTGGACTGTTCTCAGCAGTCAGAGGGGTAAAGAAATAGCTGTTCTACTCTATATTTCTGACAATATTTTTTATTTTGTGAGCTGATGATTATGGTACAGAAACAACTATCACAATTTAAGAAAGAGAAAGAAAAATCAGGGTTATAACCAAATTAAAATCACCACAAAATTAATTATAAATTCATTTAACAATATAGAAACTTATTCACATGGCAGTTATAGGTTTTTGTCATTTATTAGAAACATAATTTTCTTTAAACATTCTAAACAAGATTGCATTGTCTGTCCCAATTTCCACATGTCCTGATGCTAGGCATAGTTTTATCTTTCCCAGTGACGACCCAGCACTACCCTCAATATACACATATAAAAGTCCGGATCTCACTCTACTCCATATAATCTCAGGCGTGGATTTCTTCTCTTCCTTAATCTCCCAAACCCTCCTTTATTTTCAAAGATTTCTTTCCCCAAATTTAATTCAAAAAGGATCTCCAAGCATTCTACCTCCTCCTGCTCCCCAGTGCCCACCATGGCCAAAGTCACTATTTGACCGAATTCATCAGGAATCTGGGGAATGACTTTAAAACAAAGTCAGATTTGACCCAGTGATCTCACTTCTAGGAATATAACCTAAGAAGCCTGAAACACCAATCAGAAAGAATATATGTACCCCCATGTTCGTAGCAGCACTATTTACAATAGCTAAGATCTGGAAACAGCCCAAATGTCCATCAGTAGACGAATGGATAAAAAAGCAGTGGTACATATACACAATGGAGTACTATGCAGCTGTAAGAAAGAAAGATCTCTTATCCTTTGAGACGACATGGAGGGACCTGGAAAGTATCATCTTAAGCGAAACAAGCCAAACAGAGAAAGACAAGTTTCATATGATCTCACTTATTTGTAGAATATAATGAACATAACAGTCTGAGGAATGGGGTAGCCCCAGAGACATGGAAGTGAGGTACAGACTGACAATCCCCAGAAGAGGGGGTGGTGGGGGGAGATAAACCACAGAATTTATATGCATGTATGCATGAACAATGGACATGGACAACAAAGCTGGGGACAGGGCAGGGAGGGAGAGGGAGGGGGAATCAGTGGGAAAAAGGAGAAACATTTGTCATAAAAATAAATTAATTAATTAAATTAAAATAAAATAAATAAATAAAACGAAGTCAGATGCCATGGGGTGAGTAGAGAATAACTGGTGAGCAAGAACAGATTCTTGATTCCCCCAATCTGGCACCCTTAGGATGCAAGGAAGCAGCACTCTGGCTCTCGCAGGCCTGGAAGAAGGGACACAAGACTACATGTGGTCAATGACTCAGGGAGAGAATATGCCTTATAACTATTTCCACAGCTGACCTTTGCATGGAGCTGGCACAATGTCAGGATGGAAGAAAACCAGCATCACCCAATTCCATCCTCCCCGATAACAGAATCCCTAACCAGAAGACATCTTCCATTGTGGTATTAGAAATAAGATGCAAAAAGAAACTATCGATATGGAGAGAAATACTGCTTGATATTCATCACACTGACGTGCCCGTGACACACATCACAATGCAAGAAAAGAAAGAGCAGTGCCTTTGACAATGAAAAAAACAAGAACATTTCTTCATATGTTTCTTATAGTTAATTCATTTTCCTACTCTATTTATCTGGATAACTTAAAAGGATTTTTCTACATGGCTAAAACGAAGTCAACTTTTGTGGATAGACTTTGAACATCTATTAGCCTCAAACCACCCAAGTGTCTGACTGAGAAATGTGTGTCATCCCCTTGAACTGCATTCAACAAAAGCCACCTGCCAAGGCTATAAACTGGTCTCCTGGTCTCAGAGCTCAAGCAAGCCCTGGTACAGTACACACAGCTCTCTGAGCTGTAACCCCAGACCCAGGATAAATAATTGAGTGAGATCTATTTAATGACAATACTACCTGGCCTCATGATTCATTTATCAACTCCTTGTGTTGGTCATTAGAATAATAAGGTTTCATGGGCTTTCGAGAATGCTTTCACAGTTACTGGAAGGAGCACACTTTGGCCTAACTTACAAAATACATAATTTACCCATAACATAGGGTACAACTCTAATAGCACAGGAGAGTTAGGACATGTTATGTTGCCTTTGACACAATCCCTGTCCCAGGAAACATATTTCCTATTTGGATTGGGTTAAGTTGAGTTTTTTTTTCCTCTTGTTTTCAGTTTGATAGTATGGTTAAGCAACTGATTTATTGTTCCAGGAAATGAAAGACATTTCAAAACTTGTCTTTAAGGCAACTGTAATCAAAATTTATACTCGTGAACACTTCCCAGTAAAGGAATAAGAATAAGGAGAACTCTTTTCTTAAGCACATTTTCAAAAATGTGACCATTTAAATGAACTAAAAGTTGAACTCTGATTTTCCTCAAGTATAATAGAGTAATTGAAAGAAAACTGCAAAGGTAAGAACTAGTCTAATGTACAGAAACTAAAAATAAGAACTACAGGCTTCCTAGATAATAGAACTCCATAGTTACACCGGTAAGAATTATTGAAAAATCATCCTAATACTGGAAGTGATGGTTCAAAATGTGTTTCATAAAAGGGATACTGGTGGCAGTAGCTGTAATGGTTAAGATATTCAGTTGCTTTCTCTGTAAAATAGAGATAATGCAGCTATTCCATGGGTTTTATAGCATGCTTTATAGAACATAATGTATGTCTATATGAATGTACACAATTTATGCAATGTGTTCATGGCAAACGATAAGAACACTATAAATAGTACTCTACATATTTGAAAACTTGATAAATTGCCCTTGGTAATTAAGAACATCGGAAACAATCTGAACACAAGCAACAAATACATAAAGAACAAGCAAAAAAATGTGTCTGTGCATTCATATAACCTCTTAGCCTGTATGTCTGGTTTATTTTGGTGTGCTTCCATTTACATAGCAGCACTTCACAGGAAAACAAAAACAGAAAGAAAGAAATTTATATATGGAGAGAATTGAGACCTCTAAAAATTTTATTAGCAATAAACTTTAGAGTGATCTGTGCACAAAGAGTTCTTAAGGCAATTTTTTACTAGCTCTGATGATACTCATGGAGATGTGGGAAAGCCAGCTGTTGGTGAGTAACTAAAGTAATGCTTGGATAGGTCGAATTTCTATTAAGTTCAAAGTTACTACCTATGGAAATTCTTCAGGTCTAGGAGGGCTTCCTTGCTTCTTGGAGGTATGAAACAATGCTGATTTTCATGGCTGTCTTAAATGTCAAATAGAGACTCAAACACATTTTTTTTTTATCCTCACACAGGACATTTTTGCATTTCTCTTTAGATAGAGCAGGAGGGAGAGACAGAGAAACATCGATGTGAAAGAGACACATGGACTGGTTACCACCCACTTGACCCCAACAGGGGCCAGGGACAAACTGCAACTGAGGTACGTGCCACTGGAGGGAGCCTAACCCAGGACGCTCCGGTCCCAGAGCCTACGCTCCAACTGCTAAGCCAAACGGGCCAGGGTTCAAACACATTTTTGTTATACCCTGGAGATCAGTCAAATATCTCAGAGTCATTTTAGATAAATCAAAGGAGAAATGACACAGCGGCGCTTGAGTAGTTTAATAAAATTTTTTTAAAAAGCACACTAGATTCTCTTCTACTTACTGATTAAGTTTTTTCTGACTCTGCTCTGTACCTGGTTAATTTAAGACTCAATCTATGATTTAAAATGTATTCCTTTGTATTATAACAGCAGGGGAGGGAGGAGAGAGGACCATACAGATTTGCCCAGAAGATGAAAGCTTGTGCTGACTTTTAGATACTGGTCACAGCAGAAACTGGTTTTCCACCATAGAAGGACACCAAAAAATTATAAGATTATCAGCAGAGATAATGTACAACAAAGTTATTATAATGAATTCTTTCTCAGTGGAAAGTGATCTGTAATAGTAACTTTATAAATATCTCTCCAGATAGTCTTACTAATCTTTAT